ACAATGTTGTGAAACACTTTAGGAATGTCATAAAGGAACGGGAGGTACAGGCCTCTATGGACAGATATGTTGTGCAACAAAGGTCCAGTGACTCTCAAGCTGGTCCTAGTGGCATTAAAAGAAGAAGGGAAGTAACCCCGCAAAAGGACTTGCCTACTCAAGTCCTAATGGAAGGGGATTTCCCTTCTAAACACTAACACCATCAACACTCTCCCCTCCTCCCATCCCATCAATCATCACCAGATCTTCAATAAATGAAAGTGTCATGTAACGGGGCAGGGTCTTTTTTTCAGTTTTTGTGTATTAAAATTAATTTTTCCCATGGGGTTTAAAAAAAATTTTTTTTTAAATACTTTTGGGGTTGTTTTTTGCACGGGTTAATTTTTTTTTCCCAAATTATTTTTAGGGGAAAATTAAAACTCGACAAACCCGAAAATTTTCAAATTAACGATGAGTTTCTCATGAGGGAATTAATTTCTGGTCGAGGGTCCACTGTTTTTTCTGAGCGGGTTGTAAAATTTTTAAATAAAAAAACAAAATTTGGAGATCCCTTCGAATCATAATATGATCACCCCGTAAATTTTAAAATCCAATTACAAAGAAAACCCCCAATCAAGTTTTAGACGGGTGTTCCCCAAGCCACTATAATCGGCAGAACAAAAATCAGGGATTTTTACTGTATTATCTTTATTCTTGTATACCCTGTTAATGCTTAAAGTGATGGATTTGTGATTACTTGCGCCAAGCTCTTCAGTGATCTCCAGATTATTTACGAGTGTTTCCTTATTTGACAGACTAGGTCTAGCAAATTATTACCTCTGGTAGGCTCTGTTACACACTGCTTCAGAAAACAGTCCTGAACTGTTTCCATAAAGTCATTGGACTCCAGAATACCGGTCAAAGAATTCCAGTCAATTTGACTGAAGTTAAAATCCCCTACTATCACTATGTTATTGTGTCTAGAAGCCCTAACAATTTTGTCCCAAAGAGTCTCCCTTATTATTTGTGATCCAAGCCTGGAGGTCAGTATATTACACCTAGAATTAGCTTTTCTTGACCTTCTACAAACTACCCAAACAGATTCTGTTACTGTTCCATCTATTTTTATACCTGTTTTAATGCAACATTAATATTTTTTCGAACATTTAATGCAACTCCTCCCCCCCCTTCCCATTACATTATCCATGTGGAACAACTTGAACCCTTGAATATTACACTCAGCAATCATATCCCGGCTCTTTAAAATCATACCACGCTTCAGTTAATGCAATGACGTCAAAGTTCCCAGCACATGCTACAAGACGTAATTCATTAATCTTATTTCTTGCACTTCGACTGTTAGCATAAAATACCATCATATGTTTTTTCTTCGCACATTTTCCTATTCACCTTTGTTTTTACACAATTTCTGAAATTATCATTACCAGAGTTACTCCATGATAGTTACTATTAAGATTCTTATATCAGAGCATAAGTAAATATATCCATACTCATTATTTATCATTTCTAAACCCATACCTCTAACTAATCCTAGTTTAAAATCCTAGCAACCCCTCAACTGACCTAGCAAGAAAACCCACACCTGCCCTGGATAAATGAACCCCATCCCTGGCATATATGTCATTTCGGCCAAAGAAATTGTCCCAGTTGTCAATGAATGGTACTGCATTATCCTTACAGTGTTTATCTAGCCAACAATTAATACCAATTGCTCTGGACAACCATTCATTCCAACACCCCTTCTTGGCAATAATGCCACATATAACAGGGCATCCCCCCTTCTTCCTAATATGTCTATTGCTGTCCTGAACCTTCTAACTAAATCCTCACTTCTATGCTTGCCTACATCATTGCCTCCAGCACTGAGGCAGATAATAGGATTAATCCCATTACCATTCATGATGTTGTCAAGCCAGCTAACAGTATCCTCCATCCCAGCCCCAGGAAAGCAAACCCTGTCTCCTACTCCTGTCCATCAAGCAGAACGCCCTATCCATGTACCTAACCTGGCTATCCCAACAACAACAATATTCTTACCTTTCTTGGTGTCGTTCGTTGTGACGTTCCCAGTAGTCGACTCACATTTGTCGGTAGCACGGAGAATGCAGTAGATGTTTCCACATCAATTTCGACAGCAATCTCTTTCTTCTTCATTGTTTTACCTTTCCATTCGTCCTCTTGATTGTCAACTTTGTTCCATGCTGTCCAGCCACTGTCCAGGCCCCCTTCTTGACCTGAGGACTCAAAACAGGAGGACTACTACGAATCCTCTTGTTTTCCTCAGTCAATCGCCGTATCTCCATCTTCGCTACCCACAAATCTTTCCTTAAGCTGCTGGTAAAGTTGCTCGATGGAGGGCATCTTGGTTCAAAAGGAGAGTACACTAGCGTCCTCACTGAGCTAAGTACACGTCACCACTGAAGGGGATGTAAATAGGGTCTTGAGGATATCTCTCCAAGAGGAAACCTGCAGTAATGGATTCAAATTAGACAAGTTTAGATTTAGAAAGGATATAGGAAAGTATTGGTTTGGAAAGAGGGTAGTTGATGAGTGGAACAGTCTACCTAGTTGGGTTATTGAGGCTAAAACCTTGGGTAGTTTCAAATTTAGGTTGGATAAATACATGAGTGAGAGGGGTTGGATTTGAGTGGGGACTTATATATGAGTGGATAGAGTTATCAGAGCTTATTTCTTGGGTGGCATTGAAAATTGGGTTGGGCAAATGTTTTGTTAGTGGGATGGATTGTGAAGGACCTGCCTAGTATGGGCCAACAGGCCTGCTGCAGTGTTCCTCCTTTCTATGTTCTTATATGTACATCCAACAACTTCAACCAGAACAACGGCTTCTATAACATCTCGCCAAGAAACTTCTTCGTCGCTATCCCACATAAGAACATACGAATCGAGAAACACTGCAGAAGATCCACTCATGTACTTATCCAATCTCTTTTAAAAGCTACCAAGTTTTTAGACTTCTTCACTCTACTCCGAAGATTGTCACGTGCGCCTTTCTCCACCTGACCCAGCATTCCCATCCTATATATAGCCATGTATGTTTCACCCAGGTAGATCTGTTTGTGACTTGATAAAGCCCACTGCATGGGCGAAACGTTGTCAATAAAGGATCACATTATACTGCTTAAGTGTTTATATTTCCATTGTGTCAGTATTTTATACTATTTATTTCCATTATTGGTCTGTGTAAACAAGTTTTGTAAACAATGTAATGATAACAGTATTTGTGCGGTTTTTGTGTGCATACAACACAAAATATTTTGGTCTCACAGGCCAGAAAAGTTACTTGAAAAAATAAAATATTAAAAAATGAAAGAAAAAATAGATTAAAAGTAAAATAATATTACTGAGGGGAGCGGCAGTTGCCGATGTTGCCCTAAGCGGTTCACTTTCCATCAACTTTGTGCCTTATATCTCAGTAAGTACTGATTGCAATTTTTTTTTCTTATAAAACACTTAGAAAAATATTCTTAAGATTATGGTAAGAAAAATTCTTTTTTTTTTTCGAATATTTTCGAAGGAGGGCTCGACAGTGAAAGGGTTAATAGCTTATGACTTTAGGCCATGGGTTTCTTCCCAAATGTGGGTTATTTGTGGACTGTTCCCGCCTTGGTAATTGTGACTTTTATTATTTATATCTTTGTCAGTTATATGCAACATTGGTCTTGGGATGGGGAGATTTCTGCTTTCATCCAAACTCAGCTTTTGACATGTGGCAATAATGGGCATGTGTGAATAGTAGAGGTTGTACTGTACAGTACAGGCCTCTTTAATTTAAAATGAGTCTCACTGAATAAGGTTCACCACCTTTCAAAATGTTATGCAAAATAATTATTTTTATATTTGGAAATACAAACATTTTTTAGCATAAACAGCATAGCATTACCAAATTATCTGCTGCTGAATTAATGGTTAATAAAGTTTACCAAAAATTACCCTTTGTCATAAGCTCCTAAAAAGTTGTTCTTAATACTTTATAATCAGATGATAAAGACAGAATTATATGAATGGCATTATACAGTGGACCCCGGTAACGATATTTTTCACTCCAGAAGTTATGTTTCAGGTGCCAGTACTGACCGAATTTGTTCCATAGAAATATTGTGAAGTAGATTAGTCCATTCAGACCCCCAAAAATACACGTACAAACCACTTACATAAATACACTTACTAATTGGTCACATTGGAGGTAATCATTATGCGGGGGTCCCCTGATTTCTGGGGAATGTACTTTTTTAAAATTTACTATTTTTTGCAGCCAACTGAGAGTGAGGCCACTGATGATGATAAATTGTCTGTAGTGAGCACAGCTAGTGATGATGATGGTGACAACAGTCCTAGCCTTTCTTGGGTTTCCTTCTTTCCCCCAATGACGGGAGACATTGGTAAACTACTTACATGACCCCTCAAGAGCGGGACAATTCTGTTTATAAAAGGTAATCTGTACAGGAATTCTCACCAAGATTCTGAATTTTTGAGTATAGTAAGAGTAAAAGAAATTAATTTTATTTGGAATACTTTCTCAGAATTTTGAGAGAATATTTATATAAATTTTGGTTTAGAATGATCTTTATAATTTGTAATTTTCTATTTAGTAGTAAAATATTTCTTTTTTTAAACCCTTAAACTGTCCAACGTAAAATCTACACTTGGGCACGTAGCGCTCCGACCTTTGATTTTCTCCAAAAGGGAAAAAAATGAAAAAAAAACGTAGATCTACACTCGGAGCGTACACGAGTGAACATAGATTACGTTTGGCACTTTAAGGGTTAAAATTTTTTTTAAAGGACTCAAGAATCTGAAAAAAAAAAAAATTTACAAATTTAATACTGTTGTCCCAAATATGTCTTTTTTTTTGTAAACTTGTATGTACAAATATATCAGTTTGTAAGATGGTTGTATATACCTTGAATAATCATATAGTCTTATAGCTTTGTCAAAACTAATATTATTCAAAGTACCTGAATTCTTGATTTAAATTGCAGGCATGAACAGATTTACAGAATAACATGTTGTCCTCTGGCAAAGATGAACCAAACCATTGGGACTGCAGGTGAGCCTAAAATTCTTTTCTTAAATAAAAGCAAGACATTCTTAATTATGGAGAAGTATTTTCTATGCATTACTGTGTTTTTCTTTCAACAAACTGGCCGTATCCCACAGAGGCAGGGTGGCCCAAAAAGAAAAACAAATGTTTCTCTTTTTAAATTTAGTAATTTATACATGAGAAGAGGTTACTAGCCCCTTGCTCCCAGAATTTTAGTCTCATCTTACAACACATAGCTTATAGAGGAAGAATTCTGTTCTACTTTCCCAGGGAGATAAGAGGAAATAAACAAGAACTATAAGAAAAATAGAAGAAAACCAGAGGGGTGTGTATTTATATGCTTGTGCATGTATGTGTAGTGTGACCTATGTGTAAGTAGAAGTAGCAAGACGTACCAGAAATCTTGCATGTTTCTTCTTTTTTTCTTTCAACAAACCATCTGTATCTCACCAAGGTAGAGTGGCCCAAAAAGAAAATCAAAAGTTTCTCTTTTTAAATTCAGCAATTTATACAGGAGAAGGGGTTACTAGCCCCTTGCTCCCAGCATTTTAGTCACCTCTTACAACATGCATGGCTTATGGAGGAAGAATTCTGTTCCACTTCCCCATGGAGATAAGAGGACATGAACAAGAACTAGTAAGAAAATAGAAGAAAACCTGGAGGGATATCTATATACAGTAGACCGTCATTTAACACGGTAGTTACGTTCCTGAAAATGCCATGCTACATAAAACCATGTTAGATGAACTGAAGACCTTATGGAAAAAATAGCATAACGTTCCTGAGAGCCCCAAAAAAGCCAAACTTTTTTTTTTTAGGCCTCCACCTCTTACAAAAATAAAAGTGAAATATGTAATTGTAGTTCATTGTTGTGATGTATTATGTTGTTTTTATGGTTAAGACTACAAATGTAACAGAAATAATAGTATTTCTTACCTTAAATTTTGGGTATTGGTGTTTGTGGATGATTGTGAAGAGAGTGGAGAGTTTTATGCTGTGGCCCTACTGGGCTGAGGTGGATGGTAGAAGTTCTGGTACTGAAGTCGATGGTTGTACTGGAGTCATTCAGGTCAGTTCTGTCAAGTCATTCAGTAAGTCATCAAGTCAGTAAGTCAGTCAAGTCATTCAGTCAGTCAAGTCAGTAAGTCAAGTAAGTTATTCAGTCCAGTCAGTAAGTTATTCAATCAAATCAGTAAGCTATTCATTCAAGTCAGTAATTCATTCAGTAAGTCAGTCAGTCATTCAGTAAGTCAGTCAGTCATTCAGTAAGTCAGTCACTCAGCAAGTCAGTCAATCAGTCACACACACTTATGTTTACTTCTTTTTATGTGTACTGAGTAACTACCTCATTATGCCACAGATTATCTCTTGTCTAATATCTTTGTTGTCTCTGTTAATTCTAAGACTTAAATGCTTATACCTTTTCTTGACACTTTCAGCAACACTGGTATACTTACTGGGTGTCATGATTGCTTGGCAGTATAAGATATAGTAATTAAACAATCAAAACACAATTCACAATACAGCTAGCTGGTAGCAGAGAAGAAAGACTGGACGAGTATGAAGTACGAATGTGGGATGATGGGGTGGTTGTCAGGGGGTGGCAGAGGATGGCGAGAGGTCTTCCCCGCTGATCCCAACAAGGCGGGCCGCATGAGGAAAAGAGAATTTTTTTTCCTTTCCACAAACTGAACGTGTTAAATTAATTTTATGACGTGTTACATAAAATTATGCCACAATTCTTCAGTCGTACTATACCCAAATGTGCCAAATAAACTTGTGCTAAAGACGGTTTTACTGTATATAATAGGGCCCCAAATTTTATGGCAGGTTAGGTTCCAGGCTACTGCCAGAAAGCAGATCATTTTTTTCACTTATAAATGATATAAATACCAGATAACAAGTTAACACTAAATATACAGTGGACCCTCGGTAATTTGGCCGTAATCTGTTCCAGAAGGTCGTCTAAAAAAACCCAAAAGGCCAAAAAAAAGAAATATTTCTCATAAGAATTAATGTAAATCCAATTAATCCATTTCATCCAAAAATATTAGCAAAAAATAATTTTTAAAAATTAACTATAGTTTTACATACAGAAACAATGAGTTTCATTCATTACTTACTTTAAAATATTTGTAGTCTTAATGTAGGGCAAAAATGAACACAATTTTTTTGGGAAGTCAGTGTAGGCAGTGGTAGATGTAGGTACAGTAATGTATGTGCCCCCCCTGGGGTACACAACAGAGCCATATTTTACCCTGGTTTACGAGTTTTTTATTTTAACAACTCCTGTAGAGCCATCAAAACAAGGGGAACAGTAATGAATAATTCATGCGGAATTGTAAACAAAAGAAATGATGGGGGGTTATGGGGGAACCCAGATTCACAGTTTTCTTAATGCGAATTATAGAAGCGAATGTTTACTCTCCCCCCGACTCTCCCCTCGATACATATAAAAAATTGATGTTTATATGCTATGTTATATGTATGTAATGTGTTTCTATATAATATTAAGAAAATTCATATAGGATTAATGAAAATGTTTTTTAACCTAAAATAAGACATTTAATGTGCCAAGTGTGATTATGTTTATTAACCTTAAACTGTCCAAACGTAGATCTCGTTGACATGCGTATTGTTCCGAACATAGATCTGCGTCCAATTTTACATGTTTTAAATGGGGAAAATAAAGGTCGGAGCCTACGCACATCAATGTAGATCTATGTTTGGACAGTTTAAGGGTTAAACATATTGCATATAAACATTGTTACACTCTCCCTTCCCTGCTACACCCCCGGGCATTCCTGCTACACCCCCTCCCTTCCTGCTACACTCCCTGCACACTGCTACAATCCTTGCTTTTATGCCTGCCTGCCTTGTTTCTCACTTTCTTTACCAAAGGAACTTTACTAGGAACTTTCTTTGCGGCCATGGTTACTTATTTTGCAGTTGCAATTAATCAATAACCACCAAAAACAATGGATTATAGCGAAATGTTTGGATGAGTGAGCAGAAGCTTCCTCACTCCCCCAGAGACACAGCCACACTGACTCAGGAACGCGCGAGTGGCTGGCGGTGGACGTGTCCAGTATGGCCAGTAAGCGAAATAACGGCCAATAACCGGAATCTGAAAAAACGACCAATAACTGAGTTGGCCGATAAGCAGAACAGCCGTTAACCAAGGGTCCACTGTATTAAGTTAGCAATAGAACTAGGCATTAAAAAAAATAAAAAGTAAAATACACACAGTACACTCATTACTTACCTTAAAATATTTGTAGTCTTAATGTAGGGTGAGAGGTAAGTAGTATTTATGGTAAGAGGTCAGGTGTGGTTGGTATGGTAGTCAGGTGTGGTAGATATGGCCACCCCACCCACATGTAATGTACATTTAAAGTGCCCTAGATTAATAAAATACAAATACAGTACACTCATTATTTACCTTAAAATATCTCAAGTCTTAATGTAGGGTGAGAAGTGAGCAAACAAGATAAAACAAATAAACAAGAGAGAGAGAGAGAGAGAGAGAGAACAAGTAAATGAAAGGACAGAGATGCAGAGTATGTAAACAAACACAAATGCATCTGGTTATTGTTCATATTTTATTTTTTATTATCACACTGGCCGATTCCCACCAAGGCAGGGTGGCCCGAAAAAGAAAAACTTTCACCATCATTCACTCCATCACTGTCTTGCCAGAAGGGTGCTTTACACTACAGTTTTTAAACTGCAACATTAACACCCCTCCTTCAGAGTGCAGGCACTGTACTTCCCATCTCCAGGACTCAAGTCCGGCCTGCCGGTTTCCCTGAATCCCTTCATAAATGTTACTTTGCTCACACTCCAACAGCACGTCAAGTATTAAAAACCATTTGTCTCCATTCACTCCTATCAAACACGCTCACGCATGCCTGCTGGAAGTCCAAGCCCCTCGCACACAAAACCTCTTTACCCCTCCCTCCAACCTTTCCTAGGCTGACCCTACCCCGCTTTCCTTCCACTACAGATGATACACTCTTGAAGTCATTCTGTTTCGCTCCATTCTCTCTACATGTCCGAACCACCTCAACAACCTTCCTCAGCCCTGTGGACAACAGTTTTGGTAATCCCGCACCTCCTCCTAACTTCCAAACTACGAATTCTCTGCATTATATTCACACCACACATTGCCCTCAGACATGACATCTCCACTGCCTCCAGCCTTTCTCTCGCTGCAACATTCATCACCCATGCTTCACACCATATAAGAGCGTTGGTAAAACTATACTCTCATACATTCCCCTCTTTGCCTCCAAGGACAAAGTTCTTTGTCTCCACAGACTCCTAAGTGCACCACTCACTCTTTTTCCCTCATCAATTCTATGATTCACCTCATCTTTCATAGACCATCTGCTGACACGTCCACTCCCAAATATCTGAATACGTTCACCTCCTCCATACTCTCTCCCTCCAATCTGATATTCAATCTTTCATCACCTAATCTTTTTGTTATCCTCATAACCTTACTCTTTCCTGTATTCACCTTTATTTTCTTCTTTTGCACACCCTACCAATTCATCCACCAATCTCTGCAACTTCTCTTCAGAATCTCCAAGAGCACAGTGTCATCAGCAAAGAGCAGCTGTGACAACTCCCACTTTGTGTGTGATTCTTTATCTTTTAACTCCACGCCTCTTGCCAAGACCCTCGCATTTACTTCTCTTACAACCCCATCTATAAATATATTAAACAACCACGGTGACATCACACATCCTTGTCTAAGCCTACTTTTTTCTGGGAAAAAATTTCCCTCTTTCCTACATACTCTAACTTGAGCCTCACTATCCTCGTAAAAGCTCTTCACTGCTTTCAGTAACCTACCTCCTACACCATACACTTGAACATCTGCCACATTGCCCCCCTATCTCCCCCCTATCCACCCTGTCATACCCTTTTCCAAATCCATAAATGCCACAAAGACCTCTTTAGCCTTATCTAAATACTGTTCACTTATATGTTTCACTGTA